TTTGATTAACAGACATCACAGCAGCTGGTTATTAGGTTATTTTGGCTGCTTTAAGAGCTGCCACTGCTGAACATGAGGCGGATCTGACATGCATCGTATTTTCTCACATCTCTATACCTTTTCTGACCCACTTCAGGTCTTAAAGTCTCTACTAATGAGCTGACTAGTTGAATCGGGTGTGTTAGATGAGGGAGAAAGTGTTGGGCTGCTCCAGGATAGTTCTGAAAACCATTTCAGAGACATGTTCTGTGACACATATATAACAAATACTTACATACATGCACAGTTTTAAGGCAGCATTAATTGCCTTTTTGGTAACTTAATGACTTGACTGACGACATAACTACAACATTGCATGCTCGTAGTTTTTTCGCGCTTTATTATGAAATGATATACAGCACGCTCTGCCGCATTTGTGCGTGCAATTGAAGAGCATGTGCTACGAGCACAGTATAATCCTTGAGCTCCACCTTACCTCAGATGTCCTTTAACTTCCTGTAAGCTATTATTATAATAATCCTATAGGATTTTCCTGTACGCGATTATCAGGATTCTCTAGGTTTGTCCTCTCTCAACCTGGTTTGATATGCCTTTCACAGCTTTTTGATGTCCTCAGATGGTCGGAAGGCTTTTCAGGAACGTGAAGAGAAACGGCCGAGGAGCGTTAGTTAGAGGATTATGGTTAACCATGAGTCTAGTCTTTGTAATTATCTGTCCTGCTGCACTCATAGAAATTCAATCTTGATGCACCAAGCCTGGGGATCGTATGTTCATGTTTATTCGTGAGAGCGTGACATTGCCTAAGACACGCTTAAGAGTTTCTCCGAAGATGCTGAAGTACATATGAGAATAGCTTTAATCTGATATCAACAGGATTTTTTTTTTTTTTTAAATCTGTTTCCTTACCATGTGCAGGGTGACCATCCTCCATGAGACGTTACATGAACATTGATTTATTTTGTTGGATGACTTCCAAGCCTCGTTTTGAATATAAACACATTGAGGCTACGTTCTTTCAAGTGCATTCATTCTGCATCTTTTGTGAGTGCGTACAATCAGGTTCTGTGGCGTCCGATCAAAACAAACTGGCTGATGAAGGTCTGTGTTATCATCTTTCAGTGGTTGTATTCAGATCAGAGCAGTCTAGCTGTGCACACGACCCTCTCCCAATACTGCTCCATTCACTGCTTCTGCTTACCAGTTGAACCGCAGCACTCGGCCGATTGGTCCATTGCTTGTGGTTAGGCTAATCTTCAATGAGCACAGTTTGCTAGTTGATTCAATGGAAGACTTTCAGACCAAGGATTTCCATCAGCTTTGAAAATGAAGGCATAATGAGATGGCTCTGGGTTCCTCAGAGAGAGTTTCGACAGCTGTATTCCCAGTCTGGCTTATGATGTTCCTTTATGAATTAAACACCACAACAGTTTGAGAAAGAGAAGCAAAATGATGGAAGCCAAAACAGTTTGAGAAGAACTGGCAGTATCTTTGATAGTTAAGACAGTAAAAGTATGATGAATAAACAGGCCTAAATGTGCATGAAACTCCACAGAATCTTCAGAACTCGAACATCTGCAATCCATAGAATTAAACAAGCCCTTCCATGTTTGTTGACTAAATATTATGGCTAATCTTATAATGCAGTCAGACATCAGTAAGACTTTAGTGCACTCAGCTCAATTTAATATAATTTACATATTTAAATTCATTTGTCAGAAAAGACAGAAAAAAGTCCTTAGTCTGGGTGCTTTTTGTTACTATTTTGCAGCCATATACCATTTTTGGACATGAAACCTCAATACTGGTATGGTATTGTGTGTAGGATCTATGTCTCACAACAGACCCACCTACATGATGGAGACACACATCAAACCCGCACATTCCATGGAGGGTTTTCGAGGTTCGTCTCCCCAGCCATCTGCAGTCGTAAAACTCATGCCGGGTCAGTGAAGGTGAAGCATTTCCTGGACTGTTTGGCTATATCTCAAGATACGCTAAAAAGGACAGTACTTTCACGGTGCTTAAAAGCGTTTTACGGGCTTTCAAGGACCAGATAGAAATACCCTCATGACCAGTGGACGCATAAATTGCTAAACTCCGATCAACAAAAGAGACAATTTTATAGCTCCCTGTCCCGCAGGAGATTCTCCAGCAGACGCTCAGAGCAAACATGAGCGTGAACGAAGGACCCTTCCCTTTTC